GACAGAACTTTGGCGCTCAGCATCTCAAATTACTCCCCATCACAGAATGACAATGAGTGAGAGATGTGTTATTCAGTTTGCAGCGTGCACTCATGAGCTCAAGATGGAAAATGAGAGTCCTTTAAAAATATTTGTGCAAACTCAGCACATTTTTATTCATATGCTTAGTTCTACTTTTTTTGATTTGACAGAGCTTTCTGCCATGTTAATTTAAAGTAAGATACTTTAAATTTGACTTTTAAAAAAAAGGGGAGAATATTCTTATAGACGGAGCAAAAGAGCATGTCCGTCCCTTTCCCCAAGCTGCAACTGACAGATATGAAATCCAGCTAAAGGAAGAAAAATCCTTTCCATAACTCATTTGAACCTCCAGTGATGTTTTGAATGACTGACCCTTTGGCAGAAGCTGTGGTTCAGCTTGTTAGCAGCAAGAGGGCTGCATCTAATAAGAGCATGGCCATGCTGTACATGAAGGCAAAATGGGTGAAACAGAACAATCAAACAAGAAATGTCAGCTACTGACATTTTTTGCTTGCAACGTAAATAGATTAGATCAATGTTAAAATGAAGAAATGAGGAATCGGTGTTGTAAACAGGTCACTCTGATGCCACTTGGGACATTTTGTCTTTTAGCCATCTTGACAGAGACGGTCAAGCAAATCTTTTCTGGAGATACCATGTCAAGTAATTTGAAGAGCCTGTCAGCACCCTCTCTTCCTCTGGATGAGAACTTGAAATAGAGAGGATGAGGAGACAAACTGGATACTGTACAAGACAAGAAAAAAAAAGATAAAGCTGACTACAAGGGTGCAGAGGAAAATGAAGAGTCATTTCTCTACCAAACAGCTACACGCATAATAATAAGCATAGATTGTGATGGTGATTTATGCCTGTCAAAATGTGAATGAGGCTGGAGTTTTATTTCTCTCATTTTTATAAAATTACTTTAGCAATGGTTGCATTTTTACAAAGATTTTTTTTAAAAAGGCACTAATGACATGTAGAAAAGGTATATGACTTCTGCCATCTTAAGTGTAAAGGAATAGCATTAGGTACAGTGGAGTTCAAAAGCACTCAATTTATTTTGTGTGCGCAGTTGCAGGCCTTTAGGGGTATATCTCTACCAACTCTGACATCTAGAGACTGATGTTTCTCCTTATTCTTCTTTGCAACACATCTCAAGCTCAATCAGTCTGGACAGATTGTTCTGTGAGAAGCAATTTTCCAAGATTACACAAATTGTCAATAAGATATAGGGTTCCAGTTTTGACGTGAGCCATCAAAAACAGTTTGATCCAAACAAATTTCACTCTCCTCCTGTTTGTGTGCTGAAGATTGTTGTGGAGAAATTTGAACCTCTCTCCCAGTCTTGAATGTTTTGCAGCCTCACCAGGTTTTCTTTCTGTATTGATCTGTGTTTAATCAAGCTTTCAATCAACCCTAATAAGCGTCCTTGTATATGCTGAAGAAAATACGCCCACATCATAATGCATCCACCACCATGTTCCAACATCAAAATGGTTTGTCCAGGGTGGGGTGCTGTTTAAGTTTTAACGCATAGAACTCATAAAATGTAATTTTCATTGTTGTAATGTCACAAAATTTGAAGTTCAAGGATAGTGAATACCTTATCAAATCATTGTAAAACATTTAATTTTATGATTTTTTTTTGCAATTTTGCTACCTATTTCAATAAACAAAGCAATAAAATATTTCAAATCTTTGTTGTAATTTTGATGGTTATGACTTATAAAAATTAAAACAAAATTCAGTTTATCAGAAAATAAGAATATTGTGAAAGTTAAATACAGTATTCATAGAAAGTTGAGTGGAAGTAAAAAGTCAGGTGCACACACGCCACAAGGATAGCTGTAGCCTTGTGTCTCACAAAATCAATTAAACTATTTGGAAGAGATTCAAAGAAGAGGATGGAGTCAGTGGATCAAGAATCTCTATGCATAGACACATTTTACAAATGGGCTATAAAGGTTGCATCTTTTTTGTGTAACGCCACTCCTGAATCACAGACAACTCAGATGTTTCTTAGCTGGGCTTAGTGTAAAAAGACAGTTGCTCACAGTTCCAAAGTCCTCTTTTCAAAAGAAAGTCAAGTTTGCATTTCATTTGGGAATCAAGGTCACAGAGTCTGGAGCAAGAGTAAGGGGTAAAGAACTCACGTTGAGTCCATGTTTATCTGCTGGTGTTGGTCCACTGTATTTTCTGAAGTCTACAGTCAACACAGCAATCTACCAGAAAGTTTCAGAGCACTTACTGCTTGCTTCTGCTGACAAGCTTTATGGAGGTGCTAATTTCTCTTTCCAGCAGGATGTTGCACCTGCCCCCACTCCTAAAGGCACCAACAACTGGTTCAATGATCATGGAGTTAGAGTGCTTGATTGGCCAGAAACCCCCCTGACCTGCACCCCACAGGGAATCTCTAGGAGAAACAGGAGAGACACCACCCAACAATGCAAATGACCTTGACACCTCAGCAGAATCACAATGCAAAGCCATAATAATCAAAACTACAAGAAATCAAGGCTTGAATTTCTTCGCTCTGCGTGATGAATTGGTATCACCTTCTGAAATGAGTGACCAAAACCATCCACAATTTTTATTCCATTTCATTTTTTAAGCTGTGCTTGGAGCCAGGAAAGCATGGAAAACAACTAAATCCTACTTTGATGAATTCTATTTCAAAAAAAAAGAAGGAAAAGCACAGAAACTCTACCTTTGCCTCCTCCCACTTAATTCTCGGGAGGTGGTAGATACAGCAGTAGTAACACACACAGCACCAGTCAGGCTAATCCATGCACTGGTGTCTCTCTGTCAGACCAGTTCAGTCAGAGGACAGAAGCAGCATTATTGAGCTGTGGGATTGGCCAAGAGGAGGAACAATAGCTCCTGTGTGCCGGACCCTCGGGAGCATCCGAGCAGCTGGGAGATAGGAGGTCCGTCTGTGAGTCCACGAAATGCCACGTAAATGGGAACTGCAACGTTGCTCTCTTTGACTTCACCAGAATCTCTAGCACACTTTCTCAGCTTTTAATCATCTTTTCGCTCCCCCTCTGGGCATGCTCCGTCGCTCTCTCCCTACAAGTTTATGCCTCCCCTGTCGCCCCAGCACACCTCAGAGGAGAGACAGAAAGGAGAACGACAGAAAGGGAGAGACTGTTCTTGGTTGCATGAGAAACTCAGAGACTGGCAAAGGATCAGAGCAATGTCAACAAACAAGAGAAGTCCAAAAAGCCTCTGCAGGAGGCTTGCCAAAACTGTTCTCTCACAAAGAAGAGTGCCAGCCAAGCAAGAATTCCATATCTCAAAGCAAAAAAGGTTCACAGGAAACATCAGATAAACATGGGAACAGTCCGGTTCAGTTGTGGGAATGAAATCAGTTTCAGTGCATCTAAAAGTGTTGTTGTGGTGTCATGATGCTCGACCATAATTTAACAATGTCAGACCTGATTGGGAGTGATTGTGGCATCTACACTTCTACACCCAACTAACATGATGAATATTCTAGTCACGTTCTCCTTTCAGACACATACATCTCTGACCCCATATTTATTATTGATATTGATGAGGTGTTTAAAGTTTGAGACCTAATGTCTTCTGAAAATGTAAAAAGCTGATCTGAGCTGAATAAACTGATTATTGGGCAGTTGGTGAAATGATTAAGTTCTTTCATATTATGTTCAGCTACAATCCCAGCTAAAAATAAATTAATAAATAAAAAAAATAAACAGCTTGTGTCCCTGTTGTATCTTCGTTTCATTTGATTGTTTCAGTTCATAGGAGACACAACTTATCCATCGTCATAAGAAGTAGGACACCATGATATCTATCTGCGGACAGATAATTCATTCATTGTAAGTCATAGATCTGAACCTAAAATAACTTTGCACAGGGTGTTTTTGCTTTAATATTATGTTGTGAACAAAAAATATATATTTGGTTATGCGTGGAGCGGCACAAGCAGAGGCTCTGCATCATTTATACAAGTTTTGAATACGGCCACTCTGTTGGTTAGGGGGACCTAAGCAGCTGCCAAGTTCACATATGGATCAAGCTGGCTTTGATTCACACAATATTTAACCCTTCCATAAGGTTTGAAAGAACATGTTTCCAAAGATATTCTTGATAGTTGTAAAGAGAATACCGTGAAGGATCACATCAACTGGATCATTCAGTGCAAAGGAAATCTTACAGTTGCACGAAAGATTTTTTTTAAAAAATGCACACAAGTCACAATAGGACTGGGTTCAGTGTGCATGCTTTTCTTGTCGTACTTCTAAAAAGTACAAAGACGGTTTCAAATTTCAGAAACCATTATTTATTTTTTTTTCTCAGTGAGCTTCAACCTACCATCCCCCCATGACAGTATGCAGACCGAGCAGGCTTGCAGAAAGACCCCAGCCCCTCATCGCGGAGAAATTCATTCCCAGCGGTTTGACTCCACCGCTCTGAAACTCTCCGTCCACCATTCCCCGGCTACTGACATAGCAGCTGGCGCATATATCTCAGGACGTTTCTATCGTGTCTGGAAATTTGCGCAGCGTCGTACATATGTGTTCTCCGGCTCTCTTGCCAATAATTCCTCAGACTGTACATACATGTCAAGACACTGCTGCAGCGGGAGCTCATGCAGATGTGCGGCTGAAATTGATTACCCAGCAGTCCCTTTATAAAGCTGACCTTTACTTAAGCAGCAGAAACACGCATTTGGCACTTTTTCGACAATTGGATCACTTTGGAATCGCATCAATGTCACGTTTATCACCTGTATGTGGGGTTAAAGTGGAAGTGGGAGTCACAGTGTTGAATTACCAAGACCGTTATGAGTCTAGCAGTTCCAGTTCAGGTCTAATGTTACAACATGGTGACTCTGTTCTGAGCCAGTAAGTTCAGCTGAATGCTGTTGAGATCCATTAAGGTCCATGCAATGTTATAAGAGCAGGGTTTAAAAGTGGCTGCAGCATTACACGATGTTCAAACATTACCTGATAGGTTGGTTAAAAAATCCCACTTATTTTCTTTCCATCCTCACGGAGCTGCACAGCGTGCCACAGAATCCAAGTATTTAAATCTCCGGGTCAGATCCATGGCCGCAGCGTCTCTGATATCAAATGAGCTCGTGCTGGAAGAGGCGGCGGCGCAGAACAATCCAGCCACTTTTTTTTTCCTGCAAAGGGTTTCTTTGGCAAGATATCGCTTAAACTGACATCAAATGTGTTCCGGTCCAACTAGCAGACAATTTTGTAACATGAACCCGTTTTCGGGTTTAATCCCTTGCGACAAAGGTTGTCTCGGCAAAGTAAGGAGAGTTGTGTTAGGTTTGTTTGGAGGAGAATGTCCCCGCAACAATCAGCGCCGATGGTATGAGCCACTCCATTGTTGGGGCGCGAGACAGCGTCCCATGCTGATGTGTGATCGTGGGAGGCTCGCGGACAGCGCGTGCGCTCGCAGTATTGGCTAAAGTGCGGAGTCGTCATACTGCGCTGTCCAATCCATCCTGCTGTTCAATTTATTCGTTTCCTATCCTTTGGATTATTATTTAGTTAATATATTAGCCGTATAATACAAAATATAGCCTATATATATTTTAGAAATGACTGAATGGAGCTGAGAGATAATTGTAAAACTAGTTTCATTGATTTCATATATGGGTCATGTCTTGAAGTGCTTTTTCAAATAGCCAACATATTTTAAGCAAAAATTCCAAATCAATAAAGAATATATATATATATATATATATATATATATATATATATATATATATATATATATATATATATATATATATATATATATATATATATATATATATGATTACAACATGGTGACTGTTCTGAGCCAGTAAGTTCAGCTGAATGCTGTTGAGATCCATTAATGTTATTAGAGCAGGGTTTAAAAGTGGCTGCAGCATTACACGATGTTCAAACATTACCTGATAGGTAATGTTTGAATTGTCTGCTAGTTGGACCGTTTTTTTTTGTATAAAGAAAAACTGAAGATAATTGTAGCTTGGCACTTTCAATAAAATACAAAAAAAGTACAACTGTATGAATAAAGGAATATTCCTTTATTCATTAAAGGAATATATAAACAGGTCATTTTTATTACGACCAACGTGGGTCTTTAATAATGTGTAGGAAACTTACTGTGAAATAAGCAAATTAAATTGTGTGATAAAATTTGGCAAGATATTGCACTTTTCTATCATGACCCATCCGTTTGTTTGTTTTTTTCCTACTCCCTTTTAAACATATCGTTCACAGCATGATATATTAATAATGACTGTGATTGTTATGATTATTTTGTCAATTCCGTTTTGATGTTTCAAATAAAAAAAAGAAGTTAGCCGAACAAAAATGTGCTTAAAGCTACTTGTTTAAATAACTAAATATAAAATCTAGAACTCGCTACAGACTGTTTTAGTAAAAAACAATGTGGTGACAAAATATTTGTAACTTATATCCTTAAAACTCTTGAACTCTAGTCTTTCTTACCTTAGGTTACAAAAACCAGGCAGTTAGTGATCTGGAAATCGCATTTGTAGCAGCTTCTATCCATTTCCCATGCTTCACTTTCAGAAATTTTCTGAATTGATTCAGCTACTTTTTACCTGATTCTTTTTTTCCAACTGAGTAGAACTATTGTAACAAAATTAAATCACAAGTTTCAAGTTTTATTTGAAACTTTTTTCCTCTTTCTTTTTTCGTTCAGCGGATGTCCCGCCTCCTCTTTCCGGTGACTTCACAACATTCAACATGTCTGCCGCCATAGCTTCCCTCGCTTCGTACGGGAGTGATTCCGACTCCGAAAACGAGTCAGAATCCAAAACCAGTGCCAAGAAAGTTGATCCGAATGATCCGGATGCTACGGCTCACCTTAAACCTCTGCAGTCTGAACCACAATGTCTTTGGCTGTTCTTAATTCTGCCCCGGAGGTCGCTGTTAAGGTAAGCTAAGAGATGCAGGCTAGCTAACGTTAGCTTGACGTTGGCGGATTTGTATTTAAGCTATAATACAGCCAACTTCATCTACTAAGTAGAGAATGGGTTGGAGAGGATAAAGCGTTGAGCTGTAGCTTAGCTTACAAGTTTACTATTGTTGCTTTTTACTTTTCGGATAGAAGTATCTGGAGGTACTATTACAGCATTGATCGCTATGCAAGGTTTAGTTAATCGCATTTTTTTCCAAATAGAGCACAAACTTTCAACTTCTAATTGGTTTAATATTTTATAGCAGTGAGATTGGTTGGGTAACATTGTTGGCTAATTATGCATGTCTCCATGTCAGGAGTCTGTTGAAACTGGCGTACACTTGGACCCTTCACTGAAAGAAGTCATTTATAACCCAACATATGAAACGATGTTTGCGCCTGAGGTAAGTTCATCAAATATATTATACAACTACAACCTTACATGTTTGCACGAAAATGTACACATGAAAGTGAAACGAGCTTCATGACTAATGTCCAAACTTTTAAGTTATAATTGAACGTTGAAGCAGAGACCTGGTAGTAGCTTTGTTTTAACACCATTCTCCTCTATGCGAATGCTCAGTATGCATTGATGAGTTCACTCACCCCAGTCTTCTTAATACTTAATGTGACTAAGTTATTAATTCAGTTAATTAATATGCTGATTGACATACCAAATAAAAAAGATGATGTAACTCAACGTACATCTTAAACTTTAACCCACTGTAGACCTCCTACACAGAAGAGAGTTCATTACCTACTGAAACAGGACAGGACATGGTGTTCCTTCAAAAAATACTCATATAAAACTCATTTTTAGATATGTCAACATATGTGGCAGGATAGTCAGTTTTACAGCAGCAAAATATCTTTCTAATTAGCTGGCTTTTTTTGTTTCTGTTCTCATTTTTTTCTGCTATTGATCATTTAATGATGTAGCAATCAAAAGGCAAGATTCTTTTTGTCCTTTAGTCCTGAAAACGTGCACCTTCTGTCAGAGCAGCAGTGGCAAGTCCTTGGAAAATTGCATGTACAAAAACAGTCCATATTGAATTGAGCCAATGTGCTGAGCTTTGCTGTAACCACTGTGAATTATGAAGATAATATTTTCTTGGGAAAACATTAGTTTTATTGCTGCACTTTGAATACAGTTTAGTTTATTTTGTTCTCGAAGGCAAGATATTTTTGAAAAATCCTTTGGTTGGATCATAGCATCTGTTTTTTTTTTTGTTTGTTTTTTTTTAAATCTTGTTCATTTTGACATCTGAAATGATCTTTGTTTCTGACCCTTCTGCCATCTTAGTCATTCATTTTCTCTTCTGTATATTACAAAGTTGGTTGCTATTGAAATCCATGTTATTTTACAAAAAAAGAGGACGACTTGTTCTAGAAAACCATTCGGTCAGAAACGCATGAATTTTCTTAAATCAATAAAAGCACTGTGCTAAGTGTTACCAAGTAACACGAGAAACAACACTTTTTGATGATAATGATGATGATGATGATGATGATAATTGTTGGCTAATTTCATTTTAGTTTGGGCCAACGAATCCGTATAAGTCCCAGCAGATGTCGGCCCCAAGGAACATGCTGTCTGGCTATGTAGAACCTGCTCACGTCAATGATTTTATGTTTGAACAGCAAAGGAGACTTTCTCTACTTATGGTAAAATTATCTATATTCTCTATGGTAAGTAGCACACCATTATTTTTAACAATGTTCTTCTGTCTGCTTGTAGGTTATGCTTTAGATCCTTCTGTTGACACACACGAAGCTTCCTCTTGTAGCTATATTGGTGCTGTGGAAGAGGCTGAAAAAAACAAAGGTGTGCATTAATAATGATTATCTTTTACATTACTTTGTTTAATAACTTGATCTAAATATATGTTACCATTAAACAACTGTAATACCTCTGATGTAATCCTTCCTTCCTCCAGGACTGACTGTCTTTGAAAGTGGTCAGAAGAAGCCAGAGAAAAGGAAGAAGGTCAAAGGTGGGGACGCAGGAGAGATTGACAACTTCCTGGGGCCGTGGGCGAAATATGTGGACGAAAAGATGTGGCCAAACCGACAGAGGTGAAATATTGTTTCATGTGCTAGAAAACATGTTAATGTAACTTGATTACTGGCTTACAGAAAAATTTACCGATCATTTATAACATAATAAATTATATGTGATTGTCTTTAAATCACAATTATCAAGCAGACTGTCTGTACTTTATTCTTTAATATAATTCATAGGAGGAATGCTGAAGTTAAAGACCTTCTAACAGGACTGTTTTTCTGCAGCTACTGAGAGACATCTGTATAGGCATTTATGTCCAGTCTAATGTATTTTTGTACATTAGATCAGACATTTGGTGCAGCAGATGCTACTTATCACTGGCTTTGTGGCTCCACTCGCCCACACAGCCATGTTAAAGCCCTCATAATCGAGCATTCATTTGAGATTAAACTGATTCACTTTGCCGGTCCTGTCTTTGTAATTATATAAAATATAACAATTGCTGGATTGTTTCCTCATAATTAATTTTATTGTACAGGAAGAGCAGAAAGAACTCAATGAGATCACTGCTAAAAGGCTGAAGAAGGGAAGGAATGAAGATGAGGCTCCAGGAGAAGAGAAAACCATTCTTCATGGTAATTAGGATGCTTTTGTGTTTTCAATGGCTTTTAGTGAAATTAATCAAAAATAATCTTTTTCCACAGTTAATGACTAAGAGGAGTTAAATTTTCTCTACGTTTTTTGAAATGTGTTTAAAACATCACATTTTATGTCTTTCTTCCTATCTGCAGTCAAAGACATGTATGACTACCAGGGCAGGTCGTACCTCCATGTTCCACAGGATGTGGGCGTCAACTTACGCTCTGCAGATGCTCCAGATAAGTGTTACCTGCCAAAGAAACAGATTCATGTCTGGTCTGGACACACCAAGGTAAAGAAAAGGAGAACATGGGGGTTTGTTGCTAATGAAGTAACCTCAAAGTGAACTTTGTTGGTATTTTCTATGGTTTCTTTCTTTGAAAATATAATATTGGTACTGACAAATACTATCATAAGAAGGAGATAAATAAGTAAATTCTTTCTTTCCATGTCTGTTTATTTCCAGGGTGTCAGTGCTATCCGATTATATCCCAGGTCTGGTCATCTTCTGCTCTCCTCTTCCATGGACTGCAAGATCAAGGTATATTATCAAATTATCTAATAACACCAGAAGGTAATTTAAGCAGCACAGACTCTTAATACCCTCAAGATAATAGATGTTAATAATTGTACTGTTACATTTCAAGGTGCCTACCTATGTTTACGGTCTTAAATATGTTAATTCGTGGTGCTCTAAGAATGCATTGGACTGAATGTAACATTTGTAGATGGGCTTGTTTCTTTCACAGTTTAAAGACATCTGCAGTTTAATTAAATG